CTGGGGAGAGAGCCTCTGGAACGTGCAGCCCGTGCACTGCAGCCCCATGGCGGAGCTGAGAACTGGCGGAGATGGAAGCTGAGAACTGGCGACTGCGTAGTACAACTTTAGTCCGCGGAGTATAGCTGTGGAGCTGGAAGATGAGAAGTGGCGACTTAGCAGTACAACTTTAGTACGCAGAGTAGCTGGGGAGGGGGATGATGAGAACTGATGAGTGGGTAGTAGGTGAGAACTCGCGACTGTATAGTATAACTTTAGTACGCGGAGTAGCTGGGGAGCGGGAAGATGAGAACTGGCGCGTGGGTAGTACAACTTGAGGGCGTGGAGTATCTGGGGAGCTGGGAGATGAGCACTGGCGACTTTGTAGTACAACTGTAGTACGCGGAGTACCTGGGGAGCGGGAAGCTCAGAACTGGTGACTTTGTAGTACAACTTTAGTACGCGGAGGAATCTGTGGAGCTGGAAGCTGAGAACTGGCGACTGCGTAGTACAACTTTAGTACGCGGAATATAGCTGTGGAGCTGGAAGTGGAGAAGTGGCGACTTAGCAATACAACTTTAGTACGCAGAGTAGCTGGGGAGCACTATGTCCAACTTCGGTTGTTGCCTTCCTCGCCATGCTGCCTTGTCTCACAAAAAAGGGGTCGGCGGCACCAGGCGGAGCCCTTACAATAAGAAGAAACTTTGTTGAAAAACACTTTTGGTGACCAAAGCCCACTGGTTGATACGTGAGCTGTCTGGCTTGGGGACATGCCCTTTCCTTTCACCTGACACATCCAATCGAGCGTCCGTCAGTCCATCACCAGGGATATCGGAACGGCACGATTCCAAAAGCCACAAGTCCCGAACACACTACTTCGTCCGCTCAAGCGTGGGTTGGAATGTGATCGGGACTTGAAATGCGTTCCAAATTAGCTCTAGACTCGGAGGGGAGCGGCCGGGAGCCCGAGCGCATTGGATCTCTTGGAAAAACAGGTCCAGTGCGTGACTCCAACGAGCCAACAAACTCCTCGAGCAGAGGCAGACGAGAAGCGGGTGTCGGTCTTCGGGGTTTTGGGCGAAACGGACAGAGTGCGGAGTGCCAATAACGCTTTGGTAGTGCTTGTATTCCAACTTTTTAGTAAGTTGCGGCTCTCAGTTGAAAGGATGGTTTTTTCAGAATGTTTTCTGGTTTCCGGATGTTTCCGGTACACTTCGGTTGCTTCTTCGCTTCACTCCTGCGGCTGGGGGCTGCGTCCCAGAAAGGCCGAAGTGCTTCGGCCCCGCGCCGGGCCTTGGAACATTTCGCCGCCAAAAAGCAAACACGAACGCCGTTCCTAGTAGTAACAAGTGCATCGCTAGTAACAAGTACCTTACTAGTAACAAGAAGCTAGTAGAAACAATAAGCTAATAGCTTCTTGTTCCTAGTAAGGCCAGCCCCGTTCGTAGCGTCCTTGCTCCTAGTAGCAATGCCCTTTGCTCCTAGTAGCTTATTTTATCTATTTTTTTCATATTAAGTTCATCGAAATTCTCTATTTCTCCGCTATCTCTTTCTAAGTCTGGCCATCTCGCCATGCCGATAAAAACACACCTCCTCGGCGAGGTTTTCGACCGTGGGGTGGATGGCGGTCTGCACTGAGCGTTGGCGCCTTGAGAGATCCACTCGGAGCAAAGTAGCTAGATTGAGCTTTCCCAGTCTGTTTGGCCTACTTTCACCTACTTCTCTCCGCATTCAGTATGTCTGTGCTACCTTTCTCTTGTTTGTATGCTGAATGAAGTCATGAAATCCACATGTCGCTTTTGCAGGGAACCTGTATGAGGCTTTCTAGGTCTCCCAACGCCTCCAGGAGCAATTCTAAAGCACCTTGCCAACCTGGGAAATTCGACTGGCAGTCCCAATTAACATGTTCTGAACCAGTGGGCACTGGACATCTCTCAAGCGATACACAACTAGGCAACTTCTAAGCACCTTATAGGCACTCCACTAATCAGCACCCCAATGCGCACCTTATGACATCTTCCTGTGCGCTCATGATTGCCCTCTCCAAATTGTCCCCTCAAAGTTGCAAACGTCTTGATTTCGGGAGTGCTTTCGTTGAAAAGTCAATATCGGTAGCCCCTGCCATCCATTCCGTTTTCCATCTGCTCCCCAAATCCCAAGGGGTCAGTTTCAAGTGCCACCTTCGGCCCAAACTGTCAGCTTCTGCAAAGCAATGTTGCTAGGATATCTTGAGCTTGTGATTCCTTCCAAAAGGCGATGCTCAACATGGACCGCATCACCTGAAGACTGATGGACAAGGAGAGGCGGTTGGAGAAACTTCGCGACGAAGGTCTCCACAGGTCTCCTGTGACCTCTTCACCACCAAATCACGAAGAAGAATTTTCAGTTGACGCTCGACACAAATCACACTTCTCACTTATTCCCATCACAACTCCGCCCTCGTGCCGTTTGTGGCGGCAGCGCGGTGTCGCATGGCTGCCCAGGTGGCTGCATCGGCACCCAAAGGCAGCGGTGCCACCCAGTGGTCCGGGACGTTGCGGTCGGGCAGTGTGGGATCGACGTAGAGGTAAGGGATGGCCTAAAGGGTCCAAAAGCAAAAGACTAAGCCTCAAAAAACGAAATCGGGAAAAAGGAGCTTCAGCGAATGGCTTCACAAAGCTTCACAATGCCAAATAATATAGAATACTGAGCGCTCTCCCTACACTATTCTTGACGGTGCAAAGGCAAAGATCGAGATGTGGACATTCTTGGAGGCGAGAAGAACCATGCCCAAACTGCCACTACTTAAAGGCGAAACCGATTCGCTCGCATCGAATTCCAACCATGGAATCTCAACTTGCAGATCCACATTAACCTCTGGTCGAGAATCCTTCCATCTCCTTGCAGGGAACATCCACAAGAATTCACAGCCTTCACTTCCAGCTTCGATGCCATGCAACATCCTTGCTGGGATGTTCACCTCAAAGTAGCAGGAACCGCACAAGTGATCGAACACATGTCAACACAAGGAACAGGCACAACAAACAAGAAGGCAAAATCCCAATGTGCAGCCGGTTCACATGTAGCCCTGGTGAGATTGGATGCTTCTTCACCCAATCCGTGTACTCATGCAGAGTCACATGGCCGTTGCCCCGCGTGAAGTGATAAATCTCTCCGTAGGGCTCAGGGTGGTAGTGAGTTGGCAGCTCTTTGAAGGGCTCCAGCCGCAACAGTCCTGAAAAACTTTTGATTGGATTGAGGATCAACATGGATCAACATGGAACAAACTACCAGCCTCTTTTCGTAGGTTGGATGTCATTAGGTTGGAGGCCATCGCTCTTAGGTTGGAGGCCATTGCTATTAGTGTGCCAAAGCATTCAACACATTTCAACACCAGGTCTTGAAGTGCTTGATTGCATCAACTAGTCTCACCAAATATCAAGTGCCACTAGTCTCGCTCCTCCGGTCAAGCCGGTGCTCTCATTCTCCATCAGGGTGAGCTCCTGCCATTCCAGCTGCTGTCTCTGCTGGAGGTGCAGATGCTGCGAACTCCAAAAATTCCATCCTGCCGTGCACTTGGCAACGTCGTCTCCCACATTTGAAAGGACCCAGCGGCATTTCAAACAAATGTGAATTGAGCTCGACGTGCGCAAATCGGTCCTTGGCTTCCAGGCACCTTGAAATTTGCCGCCGCTAGCGTCAGCGCCAGCCAGTGAAGGACCAATCCCATGGTGAGACCGGTGGGAAATCGTTTGTTGGAGCCACTCTGCCCACCAGTCGATAACAAGGCAGGCCTTTCTTGAGGTATGTTTGTCATGATGTTTTTTTCCTTATCAATTTGAGCATTTGGGGCGGCATTGCTTGCTGCTTGTTTAGTGGGAACAAAATTAGTTCAGAACACTCGTAGATTCCTTGGGGTGGTTCTTGTGCCGCTCTTTCCTGACTTACATCTCGGGCTGTCTGGCGACCCATGAAAAAAGGAATGATTTGATCACGAAGAGTATTATTAGTACAATAACAAGCTACTAGTAGGTTACTAGGTGGAGGCCATGGCTACTAGTAACTAGAAGCTTAGTATTTTTTGCGAAGGAGTTGATTGAAACAACTGCCATGTCGGGTGAACAAACTGACGTCGGGTGAGCTGGTCTCCGGTCTCAGTCGTCTGGGCGGAGTCATCTTTTGGATCACACTCTGAGTGTCGGTGGGCTGTGAGCTCTGCTATAGCTCCAAAACGACTCTTGTAAAGCTATGAGCTCTGCTATAAGCTCCAAAACTCTCTTGCTTTGCATTCCTTGTTCACATGCAGAAATGCCGGCATGGTATGCGATCACATTCACTTGAAGGCCCGCTTTGCAGATTTCATCATAAACTCGCAGTGCCTGTTGCCACTGTTTCCCTTTGACACATGCGCTGATCGCAGCACTGTACGTGATCAAATTAAGTAAATGGCTCTTGCAGGCTTCCTGTAACAACACAAGTGCAGATTCCCATTGGCTTGCCTTGTCACATGCACTGATTGCGGCACTGAAGGTGATGACGTTTTTCCTGCCGTTCACGTTTAGATTCCTTTCCGTATCTCCGAGCAGCAGCAGGGCCATCAGCCATTGTTTTTCGCAGGAACTTATCAATGCGTTGTAAGTGATCAAATCTCCAAGCAGGAAGTCCGCTTGAGATTGATGTAGCACATCTAGTGACCATTCCCAGGCTCGCTCACCCGGCTCACCCGCTCGACCACTTATGGCTGCATTGAAGGAGATTTGTGATCTGCGGATGTGCCTCTTAGCCATCTCATCCTGACGGATACCAAAGAGTTCGAAGATTGATGAGGGCGGAACTTGCCGAGCAACTGCTGGCTCATGCTGGCTTTGATTGCAAGAACAGACTGCAACACACAGGTTCAACATGGTTCAACAACATCAATCGAATTCAACGAACCCTGGAATCTATCGTCGATCAGCCAAGCTTCGAGCAACTGCAGGGCCAGCTTCCATTGGTCTCCTTGCTCACAGCTGCTGATAGTAGCATTGTAGGTCACCACGGTACATTGACACCGACCTGGCCCAACTGCGCTCTGAATCATGCAATCTGCTGATGCACCGGCCTTGATCTGCATCCCTGAAGAGACTCAAGGCCAGCTCCCAGGCAGAGCTCGCAGCGCTGATCGCGGCGTTGTAGCTGATGATGCTCCGTTTCAAACCGCACAGCTCCTCTCAGAATTGAGGTTTGGAATGACTCCAAAAGCGAACAACGACAGTTTTGATGTCCCCAGTCCAGTGCAGCACAAAGGTCGACACGGTCATATGTGGCCACGTAACGGTGACACTGTCGCAGGACACCAACGAGAAGGTGATCAAGTCTTAATGGCTGGAAAATGCCAGAACATGCTCGAACACTTCCATGGTTTAGCTAGTAGGGTGGAGGCCATTGCTATTGGGTTGGAGGCCATCGCTATTAGGTTGTAGGCCATCGCTAT